GCCCCAGGGGCCTAAATCGAGGAAAACCGCCAGGATTGACACAGCACGCATCGTCGGAAATCTAAGCACCTTCGGGCTACCCAGGGAAGCGCCCAGGCAGGTACGTTGATGCTGCGGTGCGCACGGCTGTTGTGGCGGTTCGCAGGCGCCGTGGTGTACAGCAGCGATCTGGTGCACGTAGGCATTGTGGTGCACACGGGCGCTACTGCGCACGCGGCTGCTGCAGTGCGCAGAGGCGCTATGGTGTACCCGTGGAGAGGCGAGCGTGTGAGCCGCCCCCCCCCCCCCTCTCATGATGGGTCTGTTTTCCACCACCACCACCACCACCACCATAAGCTGGAGGGGGAAAGGAGGCGGAGGGAGAAGCAGGAGGATGACACCCTCCCCTTCCTACTTATGGTGGTGGTGGTGGTGGTGGTGGTGGTGGTGGTGGTGGTGGTGGTGGTGGTGGTGGTGGTGGTGGTGGTGGTGGTGGTGGTGGTGGAAAACAAGCCCACCTTCTCCAGCGGGCTGCTCTTCTTCGCCCGTGCTGCCCGTGGCTGGCTCGGCGAGGACGGCGAGGGGCCGCGCCCGAGCCCACCCCCGCGCGCGGTGCCCGCTCGGCCGCCGAAGCTGGGCCTCCGGGGGCCTTCGCTGGGCGTCGCTTTAAAGGCGAGGCGACACACGGACGAGGAAGAAGGGTGCACCTCCCGAGCCCCAGAAGCCCCCTCTTCGGGGCGACACACGGACGAGGAAGAAAGGTGCACCTCTCGAGCCCTAGAAGCCCCCTCTTCGGGGCTACAGATGGAGGAGGAAGAGAGGTGCACCTCCCGAGCCCCGGAAGCCCCCTTTGGGGGGCCACAGATGGAGGAGGAAGAAAGGTGCACCTCCCGAGCCCTAGAAGCCACCTTCTTCGGGGCCACACATGGAGGAGGAAGAAAGGTGCACCTCTCGAGCCCTAGAAGCCCCCTCTTCGGAGCCACGCATGGAGGAAGAAAGGTGCACCTCTCGAGCCCTAGAAGCCCCCTTCTCCCTATAGGGGCCACAAGTGGACGAGAAAGAAAGGTGCACTTCTCGAGCCCTAGAAGCCCTCTTTCCTAGAAGCCCTCTTTGGGGGCCACAAGTGGAAATGGACGAGGAAGAAAGGTGCTATTCTCGAGCCCTAGAAGCCCCTTTGGGGGGCCCCAAATGGACGAGGAAGAAAGGTGCACCTCTCGAGCCCTAGAAGCCGCCGTTGGGGCCACAAATGGCCCCTTAGGGGCCCTGAAGGGCCCCTTTGCTGCAGCCCTCGCGGCCCTCCCACTGGGCGACGCCCAACTCCGCCCTGGCCAGAGCCTCCCATGGGGGCCAGCCCGACGGAGGCCGCCCTGGGCGGGGTGGGGGCACTGCCGGTGCCAATCGGTCACAAGGACGCGCGGTGAGGGCGCGAGGGCCTTGAAGGCCGCTGGCCCCGAAGGCCCCCGAGAGCCTGGCCGGCGAAAGCGGCCAAAGAGCGGCGGAAGGGGCAGCGACAGAAGGGCACCCCTGGGAGATGGCGCGTCATGTTGGCGGCGCGCAGAGGGGGGCGGGGGGAGGGGGGAAGGCTTCTCAGAAGCAGGGGTGTTTCGAAGAAGCCTTTGCCCCTCCGCCTGCCCCCCTCTGCGCGTGGCCGCGTACGGGGTCAAACGATCGCACCACCTCGGCGACGCGTCCGGCGGCGCCAGGATCCAGAAAAGGCCGGATTCCGAGTCGAGCCACGCCGCACGCGGCGGGGGCGCGGCGCGGTCCTCCTGTCCCGTCTGCGCGGGTCCCCCTCGGGCGCGGTCTGGAGCCGAGGGGGAGGGGCGCCGCCCGATCTTCTTCCTCGCCCACCGAAGGACACAGTAGACCACAGTTCGGTTCCCTGGGCCCTGCCCCCTCCCCCCTGTCCACGCTCGTCCCCCACGAGGGTGGCGGGAGCCGCATCCACATCCACGGCCTCACGGCCCTGGCACCTCGCCCGCGCCCCCGCGGATGCAAGGCTTCTTCGCGCGGCTGCCCCACGCGGAACGCATCCGTGGCATCGCACATCGACGGGACCCCACCAAGGCATCCAGACCGCGAGCATACGGACATGGACATGCTCGCCGTTCGGAAAAGGGGGCGGGGAGCGGGGTCAGGCTTTGATGATGAGCAACTTTTCCCACCACCATTACCATATGTAGGACGGGGAAAAGGGAGGATGAGAAGGTCCTCCTCCTCCTGCTCCTCCTCCTCCTCCTTCTCCTCCTCCTCCTTCTCCTCCTCCTACCTGTAGTGGTGGTGGAAAATGGGCCCATCATTTGACCCGTGGTCGACGACGAGGGCGTCCCCCCGTCTTCCTCGTGGTTGCCTGCCACGCTCATCACGGGCACGCGCGCCGCGAGGGGCTCGGCCAGCCGGCCGTAGCTGTCCCAGCGCGGCTGGTGGCAGTCGGCGTAGGACAGGTCGCCGGCCAGCACGGTCACGAGGGGATCCGCGGCGCGGATGTGGCTGAAGGTATGTTCCGACTGCTCGGTCTGCCCTGGCAGCAAGACAAGAGCTGCGTGCGCAGCGAGGCGGGGATTTATCCATATCCACCGCCTGGGAACCGACGTCTTGGGGACCCAACAGGCGGTGGATATGGATATATTTTGGCCCCTGGGGGCCTGAATATACCCGTATCCAACGCCTGTGGAAGTCCGCGAAGATCGATCCCCCAGGCGGTGGCTATGAGTAAGTCCCCGCCTCGGATGCGCATCCGAAAGAGCGCCTTCTGTGGACGCTGGGACGGGGGGCGGATTCGAACCGGGGGAAGGACCCCCCCCTTAGATGCAAGGGAGGGGGGGTCGAGCCGCGGGGCACCCTCCGTTCAAAGGGCTGAAAGGGGGTCGAACCTGGGGAGCCCCCCCGTGGTGATCCAATTCGGGTGCGATTTCACTGTTGGTGTGTGCGTTGTCATGTATAGTCGTGTGTGTATACGTGTGCGTGAATGTGTGTATGTGCGTGTATGTGTTTGTGTGATTGTGTGTGCTTGTTTATGTATGTGTGTATGCATGTATGTATGTGTGTATATGTATGCATATGTAAGTGTGTACGTAACTGTATATGTAAATGTAAATGCATACGCAAAAGTACATGTATATGTATTTGTATGTGTATATGTACATATATATGTATATGTATACGTATATGAATATGTATATGTATATGTATATGGGTATGTAACTGTACATGTACATGTAAATGTATATGTATTTGTATATGTAAATGTAACTGTAATTGTAATTGTAATTGTAAATGTAAATGTTTGTGTATATGTATGTGTATACGTATACGTATGTGTATATGTGTATGTATATGTATGTGTATGTGTATATGTATATGTATATATATATGTATATGTATATGTATATGTATATGTATATGCATATGTGTATGTATATGTATTTGTATTTGTTTATGTATATGTGTATGTATATGTACATGTAGATGTATATGTATATGTATATGCATATGTATATGTATATGTAAATGTACATGCACATGTACATGTCAATGGACATGTAAATGTAACTGTAACAGTAACTGTATATTCTATGTAGATGTGTATATGTATATGTATATGTATATGTAAATGTATATGTAGATGTAGATGTAGATGTCGATGTAGATGTAGATGTAGATGTAGCTGTAGTTGTAGCTGTAGATGTAGATGTAGATGTAGATGTATGTGTAGATGTAGATGTAGGTTTAGATGTAGATGTAGATGTAGATGCATATGCATATGTATATGTAAATGTATATGTATTTGTATGTGTATGTGTATGTGTATGTGTATGTGTATGTGTATGTGTATGTGTATGTGTATATGTACATATATATATATATATGTATGTACATGTACATGTACATGTAAATGTACATGTACATGTACATGTACATGGACATGTACATGTACATGTATATGTATATGTATATGTATATGTATGTGTATGTGATGTAGATGTAGATGTAGATGTAGATGTAGATGTAGATGTAGATGTAGATGTAGATGTAGATGTAGATGTAGATGTAGATGTAGATGTAGATGTAGATGTAGATGTAGATGTAGATGTAGATGTAGATGTAGATGTAGATGTAGATGTAGATGTAGATGTAGATGTAGATGTAGATGTAGATGTAGATGTAGATGTAGATGTAGATGTAGATGTAGATGTAGATGTAGATGTAGATGTAGATGTAGATGTAGATGTATATGTAGATGTAGATGTAGATGTAGATGTAGATGTAGATGTAGATGTATATGTAGATGTAGATGTAGATGTAGATGTAGATGTACATGTAGATGTACATGTGGATGTATATGTATATGTATATATTATGGATATGTATATGTATATGAATATGTATATGTATATGTACATGTATATGTATATGTATATGTATGTGTACGTGTAAATGTGTATGTATATCAATGTGTATGTATGCATGTTTGTCTGTATGCTTGAATATGTATGTATAGGTATGTATATGTATGCATGTATGCATGCATGTATGTATGTAGGTGCGGATGTGGATGTGGATGCTGATATTAATGTGTACGTGCATGTTTGTTGTTTTGCGATTGTTAGTGCAAATTCATGTATGTATGTCTGCGTACATCTTGGTGTTCGTGCATGTTTGTACACGCATGTGCGTGATTGTGTCCCCCTCATGGGCCGTCTTGGGGGCCTCTCAAAGCGTCCTGGGGTGATATGAGGCCCCGATACTTATCAAGTTTGGTCGGTATCGCCCTTCTTGAGGCCCTCGTGGATCGTCTTCGGAGCCTCCCGAACCGTCTTGGAGTGATCAAAGGGCATCGGCCCTTCTGGGGCCCTCGTGGACCGCCCCGGGGCGCCTTCGAGCCGTCCTGGGGTAAGATACCGACCAAATTTGGTCGGTAGGTTGGCCCTTTTGATGGTTTCGTGGGCCGTTTTACGGGCCTCTCGAACCGTCCTGGGGTGATCTGGGGCCCCAATACCGAACAAGTGTGGTCGGTATCAGCCTTTGGGGGGGCCCTCGTGGGCCGTTTTGAAGGGGGCGGAATGATGTGGGGCCCTCATTCCGACCAAGTTTAATAACTTTCGGTTGTTTGGAGGCCATCGTGGGTCGTTTTGGGAACGTCTCGAGCCGTCCTGGGGTGATTTGGGGCCCCGATGCCGACCAAATTTGGTCGGTGTCGGCCCTGTTGGGGCCTTCGTGGGCCGTTTTCGTGCGCCATCGAACCGTCCTGGGGTGATTTGGGGCCTCGATATCAACCAAAATTCGTCGGTATGTCTGCCCTCTTGGGGGCTCCGTGGGCAGTCTTGGGGGCCTCTTGAGCCGTCCTGAGGTGATCAGGGGCGATGCCGACCAAGATTGGTCGGTATCGGCCCTCCCGGGAGCTTCGTGGGCCCTCTCGGGAACCTCTCGAGCCGTCCTGGGGTGACCTGAGCCCCCGGTGCGAGACCCCGCCCCAATCTGATTCAAACAGAACCCGTGCTACTAGACATACCCTTCTGGAGCGCGCAACCCTCTGCTAGACGAGGCTCCTCCCCAAGCTGTATATGTATGTACGTACGTATGTATGCATGCACGCATGCATGTATGTATGTACGTATGTGCGTATGCATGCGTGCATGCGTATGCGTATGCGTATGCGTATGCGTATGCGTATGCGTATGCGTATGCGTAGGTGTGGGTGTATGTGCATGTGTATGTGTATGTGCATGTGCACGCTGGTTGCATAGCCAAGTCAACATTGCAAGCGTCTCGCGAGATCATCAAACGTACAATGTTGGTAAAACCACCATCGCCAGCATAAAACGCCGCTGAAGACGATACCTTGCGCTGCTCGTGCAAAACGACTCCGATCATCAAGAATAGTTGGCCACTGTTTCTTTACGGGGTAAGGGGTTTCGTGCGCATGCGCTCGTTGATGCACGCGCTGCGGACCTGGAGTGAGGGGTTTCTGTCCATTAGTGACTAGCAGATCCCAGCGTGAGGACATCGACTTCCCCAGTGACATCGGCAGTCGTGGTCAAGCGCGCCCACCCACCCGCGCACACTAGCCCGCAGCTGGGCCTCAGTTGTTTATGCCTTCACTGGTGCACGTGCTGCGGGCACGCCTCTGCCTCTTTTGAAACATTGGATGTTGGCGTCGCGTTCGGCCGACGCACATGCGAATGTTGGAAACAGAGCGCGGCCCATCGTGCATCGGCCCTGCTTCTGTCATTTGGCAAATTCTGGCACGCGCACAAATGCTGCATATTTCGGAGGTTGGGGGGTGAGATCGAAATGGAACGGAGAGCCCCCCTACCGGGAAATCGATTTCGGTTTCGTGTTCGTGCGTGCCGTGCGTGCGGGCGAGGCGAAACTGCGTGGGCGGGCGAGAGGAAAGTCTCCTGTGGCTGAGGCGCGGCCGGACCAAATGATTCTCCACCGGGGCGCGGGGCCGCGCGGTGTCCCGCCGGTGTCCCGGTGGCGTCCTCTGTGGCTGAAGCGCGGCCGCACCAAATCATTCTCCACCGGGGCGCGGGGCCGCGCGGTGTCCCGCCGGTGTCCCGGTGGTGTCCCGTCGGTGTCCCGTCGGTGTCCCGATGATGATGTTGGTGATGATTATGATGATGATGATGGTGATGATGGTGATGGTGATGATGTTGATGATGGCGATGATGATGATGATGATGACGATGATGATGATGTTGATGTTGATGACGATGATGATGATGATAATGATGACGACGTCGATTGCGAGATCAATTGTGATCGGAGGTTGGGGGGTGAGATCGAAGTGGAAAGGAGAGCCCCCCTACCGGGAAATCGATTTCGGTTTCGTGTTCGTGCGTGCCGTGCGTGCGGGCGAGGCCCCGTGCACCCATCAGTACAGGCTAGGCTTTGCCAGCCGCTCTCTCCGAGCGCGCCCCGTTCCTTCGGGCGGCCGCGCGGGCTCGCCGCCGTGGCTGGAAGCGAATCGAAAAACTGGGGCGTCTGGGCCCGTGGAGTTCGGCCGTCTACATAAAAAGGGATACGCCGACAGGGCGCCGGCGCGGGCCCCTGGGAGGGGTTCCGGTTCCGTTTTGAGGTTGACGCCGAGGTTCGGTGGAGGTTTCCTGGCCCCCGGAGGCCCTGCTCGCCGCCGCGGCTGGAAGCGAATCGAAAAACTGGTGCGTCTCGGCCCCTGGAGTTGGGCCGTCGACATAAAAAGGGATACGCCGACAGGACGCCGCCGCCGTCGCTGTCGCAGCAGTTCTCATCAACTGCATTTGCACCATGTGCAACCCGACAAAGGGAGGGAGAGGAGCCTCAGCAGGCCTCCGAGAAAAAAATCTCCACTGGCATCGTCAGGAGAACAATCACCACTGTTGCCGATTGCTCGGCCCCTCCACCCCCCCCAACCTCCTTATTACCCGCAGGGTGGTCGTATAGGTATGTATATGTATATATATATATATATATATATATATATATATATATATATATCGGAGGTTGGGGGGTGAGATCGAAGTGGAGCGGAGAGCCCCC